GGTCTAGGCCCGAAACGTCAGCCTCTCTGCTCCTATGATGCTGCTTGGCCTGCTGTGTTCATCCAGCCCTGCACCTTGTTGTCTCGGATTCTCCAGCATCTGCAGTTCCTACTATCTCTGTATAGATGAAGGTAATGCTTTTGATGTAGTCAACTTGGACTTCAGTAAAGCTTTTGGTAACTGATAGTTAAGGTAAATGCCCATGTTATCCAAAGAAGTTTAGCAAATTGGATTCCCAATTGGCTCAGTAGCAGGAAGTGAACCTTGATGGTTGAGGGGTGTTTTTCTGACTGGATTAAGAACTGGGAGTGGGGTGGCAGGGAGAGAGACATGAATGATATGAATAAAATTGAGGGGGATAGATAGGGTAGACAGAAAGAAACTCTCTATTTTGATAGAGGAATCAATGACCATAGGCTAAGGGTGACTTGTATACATTTTCACCCAGAGGGTGTGGGAATCTGGAACTTACTGCCTGTAAATGTGGTGAGGTGAAACCCTCACAACACTGAATAAGTATTTAGATGTACAATATCAAGGCATACACAGCTTTGGGCCAACTGCTGGAGAATGGGATTAAAATAACTAGATGGTTGTTTTGACAGGCCTGGACATGATGGGACGAAGGGCTTTTTTTGTGCTGTGGCCTTTCATGATCCTATGATCAATTGCTCACCAATGTTCCAAACCAGACACACTCCTACCCAGATGCAGAAACCCTCATAACATTGGAGAAATAATTAGGAATGCACTGATGATGCTAAGACACAAGGCTGTTGCCAAGTGCTGGAAAATGCTAATAAAATAGTTAGTCTGGCACAGACGCTGAGGGGGCATTGTTCTCTGCTGTAGAATTCTATGAGCATACAAGGTAGAACTAAGGATGAGATATTGCATGAAGACATCAGGGAGACGGTCAGTAGATGAAAAGGCTGGACCCTTCTTCAAACCCGAAATGTCAGCTTTCCTGCTCCTCTAATGCTGCCTAGCCGCCTGTGTTCCTCCAGCTCCACACTGTGTTATCTCAGACTCCAGCATCAGCAGTTCTTACTATCTCTAAAGAGACACAGAATTTGGTTGGCAGTTCAACTCAATTTTATTAACAAAATATTTGTTATTAAAAACACAATGTATTTCCCAAATTCACACAAATACATATGCTCTTTAACTAGATCTATCTGCCTGAGAAAGAATATTATCCATGTATTGGAGCTGGGTCTTTGGAATACCCATCCTGTCTGACTTGGGGTTGGCTCTCTTCTATGAAGGTGTGTCCTGCAGGTCAGGGTGGGTCTTCTTCGGTTGCCACGCAGTCCTCTGCCATGGATCTTGCAGCAAGTGTTCATTGAGGGTGTGGCCTCCAGGTGTGTGTCTTTATTCCCCTTGCTCTGGACTTTCCAGAATGTTCTTGTGGCCTTTGGCCAATAAGGTAATGACAGGCATTCAAAGCATCCAATGGGGTCATGACTACACCCTTCACTGTTGCCATGCCGAGGAGGTGTAAAATGCATGGCGTCCAGTCCTGGCTGGAAGTCAAGGTGCCAGAAGGTCTGATTGATACTCCTCTCAGACACAACCCTTGGGCTGATTGTAACTGGTTCCCCCTGATCCTTTGTGACCTCTTTGACTATGGTTTCCACTGTTCTCTGTAGCCAATAGCTGCTGTTGCTGTTTAATCTAATTTGGCTGATTTTTTTTTCTGTCAGGCCCGATTTCTCGCTGTGGGTTAATTTAGAATGTTTAACTTTGGCCCCGTGGTCCCTTGATCACATGCCCCTTCACTCCAGCCAATTACCACCCCATCAGACTACTCTTCATCATCAGTAAAGGAATGGAAGTTGTCATCAACAGTGCTATCATGCAAATCTTGCTCAGTAATAATCTGCTCAGTGATGCCCAGTTTAGGTTCGGCCAGGGCCACTCAGCACCTGGTCTCATTACAGCCTTGGTTCAAACATGAACAAAAGACTTCAATTCCAGAGACAAAGTGACAGTGACAGCCCCTGTCATCAAAGGCCATATCTAACCAAGTGTGTCAGGCCCAATTTCTCACTGTGGGTTAATTTAGAATGTTTAACTTTGGTCCTGTGGTCCCTTAATCATATGCCCCTTCAAACCAGCCAATTACCACCCCATCAGACTACTCTTGATCATGTACATAGCACAAATCAGGGCTATGATGCTATACTCCCCACTTGTGCCTGGATGAGTGCAGCTCTAACAACACTCCAGGACAAAGCAGCCTGTCCGACTGGCACCACATACACAAGCATTCACCACTGATGGTCAGTAGCAGCAGTATGTACTATCCACAAAATGCATTGCATAAATTTGTCAAAGATCCTGAGACAGCACCTTCCAAAGCCATGACCACTTCCATCAAGGACAAGGATAGCAGATACATGGGAATACTACCATCCGCAAGTTCCCTTCCAAACCACTCACTATCCTGTCTTGGCAATATACCATTGTTCCCTCACTGTTGCAAACTCCCTCTCTAACAGTATTGTATGTCTGCCTCCAGGATAGGGACTGCAGCTGTTCAAGAAGGCAGCTCACCACCAACTTCTCAAGATCAACTAGGAATAGGCAATAAATGCTGACCACCCTGCGAAGCCCATGGCCCGCATCAAATAATTAAAATAACATTCCCGCACCAATGCTCCAGACTACATTCCCAATCCATTTTCCAGAACACTTTCCGAACCGATATTCCAGACCAACAACTCCCACACTGACATTCTGCTGATGTTAAATTTTGTATTTTGAACTCTAGTTTTAAAACAAGGACCTTGATAAACTGATATCCCCTGGTTATTTTGTCCTTAAATTACTACTGATTGATTATCATTATCTTTTCCAAATCTGTCAATGTATACTTTTTTTTGTGTGTTTGTGACATGAGTCTTACGCCCCTCCATCTTGTGTGAAATATAAACCTTACTTCAGGCTAACTTTAACAGTGTTGTTGCAAATTTAGTGCCCAGAAACAGAGACAAAGGGCAAAATATAGGCCCACTGTAAAAAAAAAAGGGGGAGAAATAAACCCGCTGTGGACACATGCTGTGAATAGGAAAAGCTTGGTTTTAAAGTTTGCAATCCGCCTATGACAATGGTTTTGTGAAAGGAAAATCATGTTTACTAATTTACTGAAATCTTCTGAGGACTTAAGAAGTGTCATCGATACAGGGAAACCTGCCCTTAGAATCATTGAGATCTACTGCACAGAAAAAAGAATCAAGTCTTCCATACCTGGCAACATCCTGGTAAGTCTCTTCTGAATCCCCTCTAGCTTAATAATATCTTTCCTATAACTGGGCGACTAGAACTGGACATAAAGAAAGGCTGCATAAGCTGAGGGTTTTTTCACTGGAGCGTTGAAAGGTGACATTATAGGGGTTTATAAAATCCTGAGGCATATAGACAGGATTAATGGTAGGTGTCTCTTCCCTAGAACGGGGGATTTCAAAACCAGGGGGCATAAGTTAAGTAAGAGGAGAGATATTTAAAAAAGACATGAGGGGCAGATTTTTTATACAGAGGGTGGTCCGTGAGTGGAATAAACTTCTTGAGGAAGTGGTGAATGTGGGCACAGTTACAACGCTTAAAAGATATTTGGGTAAGTACATGAATAGGAAAGGTTCGGAAGGATACGGGCTGGGAGCAGGCAGGTAGGACAAGTTTAGTTTGAGATTATGTTCAGCATGGACCGGTTGGACTGAAGTGTCAGTTTCTGCGCTGTATGACTCTATAACTCTATCTAACTATTGCTATTTTCTAACAATTGGCCCATAGCCTTGTATGCCATGGAATCACAAATGCACATCTAAATACTTCTTCAATGTTATGAGGGTTTCTGCCTCTATCATCCTTAGAGGCAGTGAGTTCCAGATTTCCACCACCCTCTGGGTGAAAAAGTTTTTCTTCACATCTCCTCTAAACCTCCTGCTCCTTACCTTAAATCTATGGCCCCTGGCCATTGATCCTTCCACTAAAGAGAAAAAAGTACCATGTCCACCATATCTATGACCTCATAATTTTATACATCTCAATCATGTCCCCACTCAATCTCCTCTGCTCTAAGAAATACAACCCCAGTCTGTCCAATCTCTCTTCATAACTGAAATTCTCTGGGTCAGGCAGCATACTGGTAAATCTTGTCTGCACTCTATCCAGTGCTATAATATTCCTCCTTTAATGTGGATTCTAGAACTGCACACAACACACTAGCTGTGGCCTAACTAACAATTTATACAGTTCTGGCATAACCTCCCTGCTCTTAAACTCTATGCCTTGGCTAACAAAGGCAAGTATTCCCTATGCCTTCTTAGCCACTTTATCCACCTGTCACGATATCTTAAGGGACTGATGTACATGCATGTCAAGGTCCCTCTGATCCTTGGTGCTTCTCAGGGTCCCACCATTCATTATGTTTGCCTTGTTTGTCCTGCCCACACTTATCCAGATTGAATTCCACATGAAAAGATTTGCTGAAGTCCAAGTATTAGCCTCACCAACACACCTCAGCACCACTTTGAAAGATTCAATCAAGTTGGTCAGACTTAACTTTTTCTTAACAAAACCATGCTGACTGTTCTTGATTAATCCTTGCCTCTCCACATACAAATGAATTCTGTCCCTCAGAACAGAGGGACAAAAAAACCTTGTGAATAGACAAACATCTGCTATCTACTTAGACATACTGCTTTCCCCAGTATCACAGCATCTGTGGTGTACTTTGATCAAGAATCAACGTGCAATTAACATTCAGACCTGGCCTCACAAACAAATCACAACTTGTTTGTCTCTTTTGTTTTAATACAAGCTGCTGTCCCCTGTCCAAAGGTCATCTTTAGCTCACATTTCATAGCTCCAAACCAAAATTGATACATGAGTAAAATAAAAGTATTGAAAAATCAGTGAGGGTTTTAACAAGGTACAACAAATAATTAAGAAGAAAATTAATACTGACCTTTGTTCCATGGAGAATCAAGTATAAAAGTAGATAGGACATGTTACACTTTTATAGGGCATTAGTTAAACCACAGCTCAAATAATATGCAGTTTTGTTTCCCTTACCCAAGAAAATACATAATTAATTTAATAACCAATTCTGCAAAGATTTGCTCAAATAACTCTTGGGATGAAAGAGTCACCTTCTGAACAACTGAATAGGTTGGGTCGGTGTACTTTGGAGTTTAGAAGAATAGAAGTGATCTTATTGAGAGGACTTGATAGAATGGATACTGAAAGGATGTTTTCTCTCATGGGGCAATCCAGACAGAGCCTGTCCCCTCGTTCTCCTTTGATTAGCTAATGGGAGCACTTGTAGTCAGTAAACATGAGAAAAAAATACATGATAGAAATGTGAGTTAAGCATTTTAATTGTTTTAATGCATTTCCTGTCACAAGATGAAGCATACTTACCAACCATATTTACCCATTGATTTCAGAGGTAAATATTTGAAAGTTTCCTGACCAACTAAGTAGAAGTCCTGGACTTTCTATCTGCGCAAGGACTTTTAAATTTCTTTGACAAACTTTGGAGAACTTGTACAATTCATGTTTACTACAGGAAGGAATTGACTGATTTCTGCATTGTCCAAGTGTCGAACAGTTCATGGGAATAAACTGCAGGTCCTGTGCAAGGGCAAGCTGGTGAATCACAGCCAATAGCGCTTGTGCATATTTATGTCTCCATATGTAAGATATCCCTGTTCGCTAATGGGCCAGCTCTGGCTGCTGTAGTAGCCATAGGGACTGAGCCTAGAATCTTCCTGGACGTTACTGAAGAATACTTCTTTGTGTTGTAACATGGCAAATGGGAGGTACATGCGCACTTTGTCCAAGAGATGGCCTGGCCAGAAGGCATATGGGTTGGCTCGAGCACTGGGGGACTGGCCTGATATTGACTGTGCCTTCAGCTTCAACTTTCTGAAAAACAAAAACAACAGAAACAAATCCAGTGATTCCATCAGTTTGATTCTGTCCTTTGCAGCTGAATTTACTCTGGTGGGTTATGGGACCCAATTCAAACTGAACTGTTTGCACATAGATTCATTGAGGGCTATAGTACAGAAAAAGGGCATTTTGTTGCCCATCTATGATTACTTTTGAACTCAGTGGCATGCTCAGCCATTTCACAGGACAGTTAAAAGTCAACCATATTGCCATGAAACTGGAGACACACTTAGATCAGATTGGGCAGGACAGCAGATTTCCCTCCCTGAAGGACATAAGTGAACCAGGGCAGTTTTTACAACAATCATCAATGGTTTTCATGCTACCACTGAGTCTAGCTGAATTTAAAATAACACCAATTGTAATGAAGGAGTTTGAATATCTGCCCCTTTTGATCATCTGTCATAGGGAAAATGTTAGAAGTCACAAAACAATATAGAACATAGAAGAGTCCAACACAGGAATAGGCCCTTCGGCCCAACATGTCTGTGCCGACCATGATGACATTCTAAACTAATTCTAACTGCTACACATGGTTCATATTGCTCTTTTCCCTATCTGTTCACATGTCTGGCTAAATACCTCTTAGGCTTTGCTAATGTGTCTGCTTCTAACACCTCCCCGGCAGCACTTTCACCATCTGGATAAAAAAACTTCCTTCGCATAGCTTCCTTAAACTTTTCCACTCTCACCTTAAACCTATGCCCCCTAGTATTTGACATTTCCACCCTAGGAAAAAGACTCTGAACATCGACCCTACCAATGCCTCTCATAATTTTATATACTTTTCTATTAGGTCGCTTCTCTGTCTCTGATGCTCTAGCAAAAACAATCCAAATTTGTCCACCTCCCCTTATGTCTAATACACTATAATCCACACAACATCCTGGTAAACCTCTTTTGCTTCCTCTCCAAAGCCCCCACATCATTCCTATAGTGTGGGGACCAGAGTGAACACAATATTCCAAATATGGCCAAACTAAAGTTTTATACAGCTACAGTTAACTGCCAACTTTTATAATCAATGCCCTAATTGATGAAGGCAAGCAGGCTGTATGCCTTCTTTATCATCTTATCCACTTGTGTTGTCACATTGAGGGAGCTATGGACTTGGACCCCAAGATCCCTCTGAACATCAATATTCTTGACGGTCCTGCCATTAAGTGCATACTTTCCTCTTGTATTTGACCTCGTAAAATGCATCACCACATATGTGTCCAGTTTAAAATCCATCGGTCATTTCTCCGCCTAACTGTCAAAATGATCTATATCCTGCTGTATCCGTTGACAACCTTCCTCACTATCCATAACCCCACCAGTTTTCCTGTTTGTCTACAAACTTAATAATCAGACCAACTTTATTTTCATTGAAGTTATTTGTAAAAATTACAAATAATAGAGGATCCAGCACCAATCCTTGCTTAACACCAGTCATGACAAACCTCCAGTCAGAAAAACACCCCTTCACAACTTCTTCTATGACCAAGCTAATTTTGTATACAATTTGTCAACTCACCATAGATGTCAAGTGACTTAACTTTCTGGCCCAGCCTATCATGAGGCTGAAGGAGGCAGGAGGGAGATTGCTGGGGCCTTGACAAAGATCTTTGCCTCCTCTTTCGCCACAGGCAAAGTCCCAGAAAACTGGAATAGCCAATGTTATTCCTTTGTTTCCTTTGAAGAAGGGTCACTGGGCCCAAAACATTTACTCTGCTTTTGCTCCACATTGGTTGCCAACCCTGAGATTTTCCAGCTATTTCTGTTTTCCATGTAGGCCAATGCCTACCCTCATCAATCACATTTGTCACTTCCTTAAAAAACTCCATCAACTTTGTAAAACAATACCTCCCCTGCATAAAGCTATGCTGAATATCCCTAATAAGTCCATTCTTTTCAAAATGCAAGTAATCCTGTTGCTAAGAATCTTCTCCAATAATTCCCTAGCACTGATGTAAGGCTTACCAGCCTATCATTTCCTGTATTATGCCTGCTGCCTTTCTTAAACAAAGGAGCAACAGTGGGGAGTACTGCATCACACTCCTGACTTGTGCCTTATACATGGTGGGCAGGTTTTTTTTTTGGGGGGGGGTCAGGAGATGAGTTGCTTGTGGAAGAATTCCTAGCCTCTGACCTTCTCTTGTAGACACTGTATTTATATGGTGAGTCCTGTTGAGTTTTGAGTCAAGGTAACCCTCAATGTTGTTAGTAGGGATTCGGTGGTGGTAAGGTCGCTGAACGTCAAGGTGTAGTGCTTAGATTGTCTCTTATTGGAGAAAATCATTGCCCGGCATTTATGTGGCACAAATGTTACTTGCCACTTCTCAGTTCAAGCCTGGATATTGTTCAGAGCTTGTTGTGTTTGAACATGAACTACTTCAATATCTAAGGAGTCATAAATCGTGCTGAACATTGTGCAATCATTAGTGAACATCCCCACTTCTGACCTTATGATGGAGGGAAGGTTATTGATGAAGCAGCTGAAAATAGTTGGGCCTAGGACGCTACCCTGAGGGACTCCTGCAGAGATGTTCTGGAGTGGAGATGACTGACCTCCAGTAACCACAACCAACTTACTCCAAATAACAGAGAGTATTTCCTCCTATTTCCCATTGACTCCAGTTTTGCTAGGGGTTCATGAAGCCACACTTAGTCAGATGTTGCCTTAATGAAAAGGCTGTCACTGTTACTTCACCTCTGGAATTCAGCTCTTTTGTTCAAGTTTGAACCAAGGCTGTAAAGAAGTCAGAGGCTGAGTGACCCTGGCAGAATCCAAAGTGGGCATCACTGAGCAGGTGCTGCTTGATGGCACTGTTGATGACATCTTCCATCACTTTACTGATAATTGAGAGTAGATTGATTGGCAAAGATAACAACCTCTCAATATTGGCAAAACTAATGATTGACTTTGAAAGAAAGGAGGAGAACATGCCCCTATTGACATCATTGAAGCAGAGGTTGAGAGTGTTGACAGCATCAAGTTCCTAGGAGTGATGATAATCGACAATGTGTCCTGGACTTAAAAGTGACAGTCAAGAAGGCACTGTTGTGGGTGGGGGTGGGGAGGTCAAACCACTCTGATAATTAACCCAAAACACCAGCCCCAATCTGTTATGGTGGGAGTAGAGGTTCCCTTCTAATTAATAAAGATGAAACACCTAGAGAAGCTCACTTTACTCCTCAATCTGTTAAGAGTATTTAAATGAAAGGAATCCCTGATATTCACTTTATAAGCAACAAGTAACAATTCATTCATTTAACCCCATCCATGAGCAAATTAACAGAACTAACAAACCCAACAATTCCCTTCTAACTAATAATTATTTCCTAATAAAACAAGATTCTGTTGTTTCAATAAGCACAGGCCCGCTTATATAAATCCAAGTAGTAAGAAGACAATAAATTAAAACTTTGTCTTTCAAAGTTCACACCCAATGTGTCTCCTGGAATGCTTTGCCTTCTCCACTGTCTCTCCAGCCTTTCTTCTGCTGATCTTGCTGTCATGGATGTTTGCTCTGTAATTTCTTCTGTGAGGACTCTGAGCCAAAAGCGGGATGGCACCTTTGATGGTGCCTTTTTGTTTAGAGTGCATAATGATTTTGTGTGAGAAGTAGGTTTATTTCTCAGATGGCAGTTGGCTCTCACCCTGCTTTTCCTCAAAAAAAAACCTTATGTATCCCCAATGACACATCAATTTCTTATGATTGGTTTCAGGTTGTCAAAACCATCAGTTTTAAATTCAATCAGCTTTCAATCACTGAGTGCTTTGTTTAAATTAATTGGCCAAAACATCAAAACAAGCCTAAGGTTTTCAATCACACAGCCAATGGACACATGTTTCAATGTTTAGAACTGTCTGTAATCTGCAGCTGCTCACAGTCTCATTTTCTGTGTAAATCTCTGAGTTTAGAAAAGCACTATATCTCTTAAAGGGACCACACAGATTTTTAAAAAACAAACAAATTCTAGCTTCCTGTCTTCCAATTCACAATTATTCTGCACAACTTCGTAACAGGCACAACAATGTCTCTTCTTCCTCAAGTGACTCAGGAAATTTGGCATGTCCATTAGGACCTTCACCACCTTCTACGGATAAACCTTAGAAAGCATACTGTCCGGGTGCATAATGGCCTGGTACGGCAACTGTTCTGCCCAGGACCATAAGAGACTACAGAAAATTGTGTGCAGAGTCCAGACAATCACAGGAGCCAACCTCCCATCCATGGACTCCATTTATACATCTCATTGGTCCAGAAAGGCTGCCAACATCATCAAAGACCCATCCCACCCTGGTAATGCTCTCCTACAACCTCTTCCGTCAGGCAGAAGATACAGAAGCTTGAACCATACACCAGAAAGTCAAGAACAGCTTCTTCCCTGCCGTTATTAGACTGATGAATGGACTCCCCAACGTCAAGTAATGTTTATCTCATTAATGTTGATGTTGTCTCGTGCACGTACTATGAGATGGAACCTGTATGCCTCTCTCTGTCCAAGTTTTCTTCACCCCTATGATCTTATGTCCTTGCTTATTATGATCTGCCTATACTGCTTGCAAACAAAGCTTTTCACTGTACTTAGGTACACATGACAGTAAATCAAATCAATCAATCAATTGACCTCATTGGATTTGTCCTCCTTTTTGTGTACAGGACCTGGCAAGTTTTCACATTGTCAGGTAGATACCAGTGTTGTAGCTCTGGAAGAGCTTGGCTCGAGAGTTGCAGGTTCTGGAGCACAAGTCTTCAGTACTATTGCTGGAATGTTGTCAAGGTCCATAGCTGTTGCACTATCCAGTGTCTCCTACTGTTTCTTGATGTCACGTGGAGTGAATCAAATTGGCTGAAGATTGATATCTGTGATGCTGGGGACCACTGCAGGAGGCCAAGATGGATCATCCACTTGGCACTTCTGGCTGAAGATTGCTGTGAATGCTCCAGCCTCGTCTTTTGCACTGTATTGGACTTTTCCATCAT